CCCCCCCGCCCGCCGCGCCAATCACGGCGGCGATCTCCACGAGGTCGACACCGCCGCGTCGCAGTCGCAGGCCGATCCTCTCATCCAGAAGCTGGAGGACGCAGTCCACCGTATTATCGTGCGCCGATCCGCACCTGATTGGCTCCCCTTTGTCCCAGGGTCGTCGTATTGGGTCCCACCTCCGAGATCCCAGGGACATGGGATCGCGCAGCTCGTCGCGAAGCTGGCGAATCCGATGACTGACGATGAATACCTCTCCACCACTTCGTCTCGGGGATGGCCTTCTTCTGATTACTTTATCAAAGGTGACTATGGAATCTGTGATTTGGTTTTGATGAATGTTGATTCGGAGTCGGTTTTGATGTTCTGATTGATGATGCTGATAGTTGTTGAAAAACCCAGATTCATGATCGATCCCGTGATTGTGTGTATCCAAAAGTACGTGCAATTGGATCAAAGTAATATGATTGATAACGCTTAATGATCTGTGAAGCTTTGATTGTGATATATGTGTAGCAATAACCGAATCTTTACGGTATTTGGCTGCAACCCAAAAGCTATCGAAATCAACCCATGATCAAAGTTTTAACATTTCACTGTAATCTTGTCTTGATATTCAAAGGGAGGGTTGTGTGTAGCTGTCTGTTCATCTGTTGTACCTAAGGATTTGCAATCAAAAGGGCATTGTGAAGAAGAATGGGATTTGATGCAGTTAACAATAGATTGGCTTGTACTTGTACAGGTTGTTCTGTGGTTCCTATAGTTGTCTTTGTTTGCTCTTGTTGGAAATTGTTATCGGTTCAGACAACATCGATTTAACGCGAGACTAATGTTGATAACGATATCTGAACCTTGTTATTAGAAGAGTATGTTCTTTGTAGTTCGGGTTACGATGGAAAAGGTTTTTCTTTGAAGTGTGTTGGTTTTTCTTGTTGCCTTCAAGATGGGAATTTCATCATCTTGGATAATTACTGTATCTCAATTTGCAAACTTGAGTAGCTTCTAACATATTTAGACTTTGGAGGCGCTTTGGTTAATTGGTTCATGCCGTGATGACCATGTCATCTACGTCTTGGGTAACTGTGATATGAGGATGAAGTGGTTCAAATCCTGAGATGCATGTAACTTTTGTTAATGAGATATTAATAGTTCAGCAGACATGAATGGAAATTTCCTATGTTTTATCATTTTTGTTTATCGGGTTAACCTCCTTTGCTTGTGTTTTTTCCTTGAATTTCAGGTGTACAGCCACATCCGGTGGAGACAGAGATGACTTCAAATACTTCGTATCAGTCCGAGGATGAGGAAGGGTAGATTACACAACCGGTTCGAGTGGCGTTTGGGTAAGTCATGACCTAGTCTCACCCTCTTAATTATGGAAATGATTCATATGGATGGACACTACATCTATCCATGATTTTACAGAGTAAAAGATTGCAAAGTCTGTGACATAATCTTGGCTAATACCGACCAAGAACTGCTTTGGATGTTCATCTTTTGAATGAATGCCTCTCCCAGTATCTGAAACAAAATCTAATGATTCTGCAGGGCTCTTCAAGATGTGTAGTTTCAAGAACACGAATCCGGAGAGGCGAACACAGCCACGCATGGATTAAGCTAGGTAGAGAAAGCCTTTCTCTGGCTCCTGGTTCCTTCTGATGCTCTGAAACGTGAAATCGGAATAAGAAAAGGTGTTTGTAGCAGTCGTAATCTGTTTGATGTAATCTTCAAAGAACAATTCCATCTGTTGTATATATATCTCTCTCTACGCATAAGCTTCCAGGTTCAGGTTCCAATTGTTCTGTCCCGCATCAGGAATTAAAGATTGTAGCTTTAGTGGAAAGACATATCCACATGACAATGTGGCTGGATTTCTAGACCGGCCATGGAACTAACAGCAGTGACATCTATAGATTCTCCGAGAAAAAAACTCAACTCTAAACCAGAAAATGACTGAGAAAGTATTTTCGATAACGAGGATATTCACACAAGGATTTTTGTTTTTTAATAATGATTGGAGAACTCGATCGTTTACACACAAACGGATGTGTGAAGGGCAAGATCCAATGCAATCAAGTGTATATTGAACAAGAGGCATGTACAGAGATGGTAACTACCTGAAACTATCATCAGAATATGAACTCAGAGAAGTGAAAAAGACAAGGTGTACAAAGTTAGGAATCAGCATGTCTATCTTGTTCCAAAACCTCTCCGTTTCTTCGCTTCAGTACGCAATTCCCAAAAGACTGCGAATTCTGACAGAGCATGGAGAGACAGAACAAGCACAGTCCTGTTTCAGGGCAGAAGAAATCAGTCAAGAAACCTAATCCGCCATTGCAGAAAAACAAGCATACTCCTGTTTTCCCTTGTTTTAACCTTTATTCTCTTCTTGGAGAGAAAGCTAAAAAAAATGATATCACGCCAATGGTTTGGCTTACCTGCATAAGCAACGGTAACACCGGATATGAGTCGGCCCAGAGCTGACAGCAAGAAGAGGCAGATAACGACCTGAAATGAAGAAATACCACGAGGTTCACGTCTTCTGCCTAGGATACAAATGACTGTTCTCCGTTTGATTGCTAAGAGTTTTGGAGAATGATGTGATTATCTTTTGAATTTGTAAGACGTATAGCAGAAATTTGATGGCTGAACACACAGCGTGAAGAACTGTGATAGAGTTTCACTTATCAGCGTCAGGGGAAATGAAAGAGTACAGCCGAAGAAGCAGCAGCACGAGAGGACTTAGCCTAGAGCTTCGAAGCATTAAGAGGCCGAGGAAGAAGATTAATACTCGGGTTTAGTTAGGTGATTTGGATTTAGGGTTTTATTCTCAAGAGGGTTTGGGGGCGCTATTTTACGTTTTTGAGCTGGGACCCTAGGCTGGCCGAGTACCCTAGCCACCAATGGTGGCCAAGTTTTGCTTGTCTTCTGCTCTATTTATAGAGCTTTTCACGTTTTAATAAAGTTATCGAAGAGTTTGATCCGGAACATACCTTGAATTGTGTTCAACGGATGGATTCCCAAACTCCGTAAGTTTGGGAAAAAACGCTTCGATAGGCCCCTTAAGGCCCAGAACGCTTGATCTGAAGAACATTGTCTCAAGTAAAGAAAAGGGAAGGTGTGGAACTCATAGTACTTGCCTTAACGAATAGTCTCTTGTCATGCCCAGTTGCTGCAACCCTGAGAACAGATTCAGCTGCTCCGATTGTATTAGCTAAGCGTGCAACGATGTTATTGGCTGTGTCTTGCGATATCTGCCATTCTAGCGGATCCACAGGTACCCTTCATAAAAAGTTCTTTTGTGAATGATGAAGGCTTAAGAACACGATTTTTCAAACACGTAAATAGCAGAGGACGAAAGAGACAACTGCAAACATGGCTCAGAGACAAAAAAGACATAACAGTCATACCTAAACAGAAAACTACATAACATTGGTGACGAACATATGTGAAGATTAACAGAGAGACGATACTACGAATAAGAACATTAATGCAAATACTCCAGTCCTAAATTTGTCAAAGCACTGAAAATGACTGAAAATGACTGTTATGTCTTTTTTGTCAAAGCACTGAGAGACGATACTACGAATAAGAACAACAGAGAACCCTTATACAATTGCAACCAACACCTAACGCTCCCAAAGCACTGAAAATGAAAACCTACTGAACAAATGGATTGAACATTTATGCCTGAGAGCCAAAAGAAACAACAGAATGGAAATAACTACACATTGTGCACCGGAGAGGAAGAAACTCGAACGCCCAGGCATTTCAGAGAATGATCAAAGTAAGAATGGAATTGATCGACATGATAGAACAAGATGGAAGAGAACATGAACTTCCTATTCCAAAATTCTGTCAGCATCTCAAAGAAGACCAACACCAAGACAACCTAAATCAATTCCCAAAGCCACTTTGCATGTGATATATAGGGAAGAAAAGCATACCCTTTTACTCAAATAGATAAAACAGACAATAAGTTAGTTAAGTCCTCATTCCTGAACAGTCTAGGCTCTGATCCATAAAGATCCGACAACAACAGATGTTAAACAATAAACTCAACAAATCAGATATGAAGGAAAAAACTTCCATTTCCAGATCGGTTTAGCGCGCACACGGAAACTAGCATGGAAAGCTCAAATTCACAAACAGACCCAATAAGCACCACACTCCCCGAGATCGAAAGGAGATTCAATTCTCAAAATTTCCAGGCTTCCAAACAGAAAACCCCTCCAAACCCAAGCGAACTCAGATAGCGAAGACAAAACCCATTATCGCGGACAGACTGAATAGCAGTAAAAGTGGAAAATTTGGGAGGAAAATGGAGAACACGTACGAGATGTTGAGTTGTCGGAAGAGGAGACCAAGAATGGCGAGGGAACAAAGGAGAACGATAAGGACATCGGAGAAGAGAGAGAGAAGCGTTGCGTTGCGGAAAGCGCAGTGGTAATACACCAGAGTTCCGCTTATCAGCACTCCCATCGCCTTCCCCACGTCTCCCATCTCTCTCTTTCTCTCTCCCGGTAGAAACTGTATTTTCCTTTATTTTCTCTCAGATTTTTCCGGGAAAATTTTAACTACCCACAGGGTTCTTTCCAAATTTTCTGACTGGATCAGCAACCACTTTGAACATTGTTTTCTCAGAGAAAGTTCAGATCTTTTCGATCTGCATCGAAATGGCCGTCGCCAGGAATATTGATTTTTCCCCCAACTGCTGCTTTTTTTTAAAACTTCGACCAATGGTTGAATGGGCCGCGTTATTGGGCCGTTGACAAAATCTTCGTAAACGGCCCATAACAATGCACCACGTGGCGCTCAAGCAGAATGATTCCACGGGCTTTAAGTGTGTGTGCATGCACCCGATTAATTTTTTGTTTTGTCCAAAGGATCAGCTCCTTCAAGTCTGTCATTGTACGTGCATCCGCTTCCGTGTTGTGACTGCACCTCCTGTTTCTTCTTCACTTGGTACGATCTCTCTCCGCATCTAATCTCTTTCGTTTCTGATTATTCGAATAGTTCGATTTCGAAGTCAACCATGGGGTTTTGATTTTTGATCGATCTGCTTCTGGGTTTTTCGCTGATTTCTTATTGGTTTCTTTTTCGTTGTTGATCGGATCTCGGAATTTCAGGAGTTGAACATTGTTTCGTCGTCTTAACAGGTTTGAGTTTCTGAGTCTCGGGTTGCCTTCGTCTGAGAAAATGCCGGCGTTTTACGGAGGAAAACTCACCACCTTCGAGGATTCTGAGAAGGAGAGCGAGTATGGTTATGTTCGCAAGGTATCCTGTTCGTCGATCTTGTTTCATTATTTTCCTCTCTGTTCAAGTTCCTTGAGGATCACTATATACGTTTATGGTGAGATCGGTGGGCGAATTGGATTTGTCTGCGACTGTGGCGTCCTTGTTTTTGCTCTTCTTTTGTAGGGGCCGAATAGGTTGATTCTTTTAGTTAAGTGATTTCCATGTGAATCTCTGATCCGTGTAAAATACGATTCGATCCATAACGTTTTGATGATTTGACTATTTCCCTGTTAGAATCACTGGTCAGGAATCAGATTGATAATCTTTCAAGTATTGTGATGCAGGTTTCAGGGCCTGTTGTTGTTGCTGATGGTATGGCTGGTGCTGCTATGTACGAACTGGTGCGTGTAGGGCATGATAATTTGATCGGTGAAATTATTCGGCTGGAGGGAGATTCTGCTACAATCCAAGGTTATATCTCGTTCTTGTCCTTTGTATACAAACACTATTCACTTAATTTTTTTAATCTCGTATTGATTTGTGCTTTGTCATCCGGCAGATAAGCTGTTGGTTCGAACATTTTATGTGTCCTTTTGTATGTATAAGATCTCGTAACTGATGGGGGTCTTTGTTGTCAGTTTACGAGGAGACAGCTGGTTTGATGGTTAATGATCCTGTCCTCCGTACACACAAGGTCTCATCATATCTTCATCTTGGTGTTTTGCCTCTACTGGGGATTGTATATGCAACTAGCTTCTAATATTGTCTGAATTTTGCTTGCAGCCTCTATCGGTCGAGCTTGGACCAGGAATTCTGGGAAATATCTTTGATGGGATTCAGGTTCAGTTTCAAACTAAGAATCTCACCTGATATGTGAAGTTTTCTGCCTTATGTTTGGTTATGGACATTACAGATTACTGATTCTGGCTTCACATTGTTCTTTTACTGTGTCATTTCTTTTTGGTTTGACAGAGGCCTTTGAAAACTATTGCCAAGAGATCCGGTGATGTGTACATCCCTCGTGGTGTGTCTGTTCCGGCTCTTGACAAAGATGTTCTTTGGGAGTTCCAGCCAACTAAACTAGGTACTGTTTCCTGCTGCATATGTTGCTATGTTGAAATTGATCATAGTGTCATACCTTTTGAAGCTTGATGGTCTCTAAATTCAACTTGGTTTCAGGCGAGGGTGACGCTGTAACTGGTGGTGACTTGTATGCTGTAAGTTTATCGGCCCCTTCTCTTTTTTGGAAAATGAATCACATTTGTCTCTGCATTTTGCGCTGGGAATGGGTTTTCTGAAAGCCAAAGAAACCTTTGAAATGCAGACTGTATTTGAGAACAGTTTGATGCAACACCATGTTGCCCTTCCTCCTGATGCCCTGGGGACGATCACTTACATTGCTCCTGCTGGTCAATATTCCCTTAAGGTTTGTTATTCAGATTCTATGAACATTTTTAAAACCTTTTGTTATCTCCATTTTGTTGGATCTGAAATTCTTGTATAGATGTATTTTTAGTTTATGTTACTTTATTTTTCTGGAATAGATTCTTTTAAATGCCACACTAATTTATGGCTAATGGTGCAGTGTTGGACTCGCACTAGTAAGCAGTTGCTAGATCATACTTATTGGATTGTATTTTGACTTCTATATTCATTTTTCAGGATACAGTGCTTGAGCTTGAATTCCAGGGGGTGAAGAAACAGTTCACTATGCTTCAGGTTTCGATCTGGATTCTTAAACCTCCTACCCTCAAAATCTCGAAGCAATTCCACTCCATTTATTAATTTGTTTTTGTTTTTGTCTTTTGAAATTGTTTCAGTCCTGGCCTGTGCGTACACCTAGGCCCGTTGCATCAAAGCTTGCAGCCGATACCCCTCTACTTACTGGACAGGTGACTACTCTAGCAGTTCCTATTTACAGTGATTATTCTCATTGAAGGTATGCTTTGCTGACATGTTTTTTCTTTATTTCAGCGTGTCCTTGATGCCCTTTTCCCCTCTGTTCTTGGTGGAACTTGTGCCATTCCCGGTGCTTTTGGTTGTGGAAAAACTGTTATCAGTCAGGCACTTTCAAAGGTAAGCTTTGTGAGCCGCATATCAGCCCTGTTCAGTCAATAACTGGATATTGTGGACTTTCCTGAGCTAATTTCTTCTTATGCACAGTACTCCAACTCTGACGCTGTTGTTTATGTTGGTTGTGGAGAGCGAGGAAATGAAATGGCTGAGGTACACATTCTTGTCTCAATCTGAATGTGGTTTTTACTTCTGGAGCATTAGAAGCTTAGCGTAATGGTCTCTTACCATTTAGGTGCTTATGGATTTCCCACAATTGACAATGACATTGCCTGATGGTCGTGAGGAATCTGTCATGAAGCGTACAACACTTGTAGCCAACACATCTAACATGCCTGTGGCCGCTCGTGAAGCTTCAATTTACACAGGTAATCTCTAAGCATGGCATATGCTGTTGAGGAATACTGGGTTTATTGTTCTGGAGAAGCTGTTTTTCCTCATTAGAACTTTTTCATTTATGACCCCCTGACAAGTTTTAGCTTTACTATAATATGAAACTCCAGGAATCACTATTGCTGAATACTTTAGAGATATGGGATACAATGTTAGTATGATGGCAGACTCAACTTCGCGGTGGGCAGAAGCATTGAGAGAAATTTCTGGACGTCTGGTAATGATTTTAGTTTCAGTTTTTGTTGCATGGATCGTCATCATAATTCTCTGCTCTATTTGTGTCTGAATTATGTTGTTTTGTTAGGCTGAAATGCCTGCCGATAGTGGATAACCCGCCT